CACCTTGTATAAAATATAGTCATTCCTGAAGTAAGCACTCATAATGCGATATGATGTGAAATTATAATATTTTGAAAATTCCTATTGGTTCAGGAGATATTCAACTGTCCCACTGGTCTAGGGACACACTGTATTTGAAATTGAAACGGGAACTTTCCAGCTCTGCCAAAATATACGGGGTGTTGGGTGTTGGAATTTGGACATCTTCTATAAGGCTATATTTTTCAACGCGACCTACTGATTTCCTAATTGAGTAAATTATTGGTCTTATTTCTGTTTCTCAAATGTCTTGATAACAATGATATCAAATCGAATAATTTCCCATTTCATTTCTCACCGAATATCCATTTATCTGGAAATTACATTCCCTATGATATTTATTTTTCACATTTGGTGAATATATACAGAGTGTCATTTTCAACCTCGATTCTGCCTGTTGATAGCATTATCCAGAAATATCGATGAATCCATAGCTGCTGGTGAGCAGTGTTATCATTGGAGATGATCCCACTTGGTCCATGACTCCATGAGTGTATCATTTGTATCTTTCTGACAGTTGCGAATTTTTGAATCCTATCTCAATAATTATTTTTACAGAAGATACGGGGGTGTAACCATTAGAAATGTGACACACTGAATATATTTTTGATAATATATCTAAAATTGTGGAAGAAAAAGGTAGGGTTATATATATATTTGTAATGAGAACGCCTGGGAATATTCAACTGTGCCAAAATATACGGGGTGTTCCATTAGAAAAAATATAATTGGCTGCCGTATCTTTTCTACGTCACCCTGTATAAAATTTCTGATGATGCCAATGGATTCCACGCATCATACTGTATGAATATACGTTCGAAATTATTTGATACCTCTCACCGTAAAGTAGTCAGAAAATAAAATCGAAATCGGCAAATTTTCAATTTCCCCCTGTATCTCTAAAACGAATGAAGATATCGAAATTTTGATTGTGCCATTCGAGGTTTCTCCAAAATCGAACCCGGAACATGTATATCGGTTTTTCGATAACTCCTCTAGTTATTGAGATAGACGGTGAAAACGCCCAATTTTGCCCACCCTGTACATGTGTGGATTAAGTACAGAAAGTGAAGGGGATCCTATCAGTGTAGAGGAAGCGATGTCCAGACGAGATGCAGATATGTGGCAGAAAGCTATGTCTGAAGAATTGCAAGCTTTCAATAAGAATGATGCATGGGAGGTAGTGGATAAACCCAGTGGTGTCACAATTGTTGATAATAAATGGGTCTTCAAAAAGAAGTGTGACACAAATGGGGAAGTGAAGTATCGTGCGCGTTTAGTGGCTAGGGGGTTCTCCCAAAGGCAAGGTATAGATTATGAAGAAACCTTTGCCCCAGTGGTTAGGCACTCTACATTAAGATTACTGTTAGCTATTTCTGTAGAATTGAATTTTGATACTGTGCATTTAGATGTTAAGACTGCATTCTTGAATGGCATTCTAAAGGAGCAGGTTTTTATGTATCAACCTGTTGGTATGGAGTGTCATGATGGGAACAAGGTTTTACGTTTAAAAAGAGCTATATATGGACTAAAGCAATCTTCCAGGGCCTGGAATGAGAGGGTTGTGACTGTATTAACATGTCTTGATTATAAACAGTCAGAATATGAACCTTGCTTGTTTATTAAAAGGGATAAAAATTATGTCACCTTAATAACAGTGTATGTTGATGATTTTTTTGTTTTCTCTAATAGTAAACATGAAATTTGTTTTATAACAAAGGAGCTCAGTTCAAAATTCGAGATAAAAAATTTGGGAAGAATAAAGAATATCTTGGGTATGGAAATTAGTTTTGTAAGAGATAATATGATAATTGTTAGTCAGGAACATTATATTGATCAATTGCTGTGTAAATTCAATATGTCTGAATGTAAGCCTGCTAAAACACCTCTAGAAACAAAGTTAGATCATCTTTATCTGAAGGATGGAAACCAAATTGATGTACCTTATCAGATGTTGATAGGCAGTCTCATGTATTTAGCTGTGCTTACAAGACCTGATATTGCATTTAGTGTTAGCTTGTTAAGCCAATTTAACACTTGTTACACAGATACTCATTGGCAATGTGCAAAACGTATACTTCGTTATTTGAAAGGTACTAAAAAATATTGTTTAAAATTTTTTAAAACAGATACAGAATTACAAGGTTTTGTTGATGCAGATTGGGCGAACGATTTAAATGAGAGAAAGTCATACACTGGCTATGTTTTTAAACTTTGTGGTTCTGTTATATCTTGGTCAAGTGTTAAACAAAGAACAATTGCACTTTCAAGCACAGAAGCTGAGTACATGGCAGTATCTGAAGCTTCAAAGGAAGCAATCTATTTGAGAAATTTGTTGATTGAAATAACTAAGAATTCATTTTGTGTGACTATGTTTAATGACAACCAAAGTGCCTTGTGTTTGGTTAATAATCCTGTAAATCATTGTAGAACCAAACATATTGATGTGCGTCATCATTTTATCAGAGAATATGTAAATAAAAAGATTGTTAAAATGGAATATCTAGAGACAAACTCTATGCCTGCTGATATGTTAACAAAAAGTGTATGTGCTAAGAAACATTATCATTTGTTAGATAGACTAGGAATTGTACCAAAATAATGTTTTGATAGTGGGGGTGTTGAGAATATCAAATCATTATTTAAATGAACCGCCAATTATATCTTTTGGTATCCCTGATATTGAAACTTGATTGACGTATGTACGAACACTGTCATTGGGGGAAATAAAAGTCAGTTGTTGCTGAATACTCAGAGAGTAAACGTGTATTATTTCTTGAACTTTTGCACCTAGCTGCCATCTTGCATCAAAAGTCAGCAATTTTTTTTACTTTTCCTTTCACTAAAACCTTTGTTTTTTAGAAAAATATTAAAATGTTGCTTTACTTTTGACGCATTACAATTCTGTATTTGAAAGTTTACGTGAATATCAGTTCATTTGTTTTGATTGTTGGAAAAAGCTGTTGACGTCGATAACAGCAGCCTACTTTGATATTTAAGACACAATGTATTTAAATACAATATCATGCATTCACTATTATAAAATCGAGATTTCTTTCATTTTTCGAAAGTGTTGCTTTACTTTTGTCCGATAGTGTATATACATAAAAAATACATTGAGAATTCTCTATGTGATGAAAATATCATTCTTTTTCGGCGAACATTGAATTACATCTATTAAACATACACGATAAGAATTTGAAAACAAAATCTTCTGAGTAGAGAATTTGCATTCTCCTTAATATAAATATATGAACATAATATTATCATTCTGCATATTCAACAGAAAACAACTAGTTTCCTGGCTATTTGCCACGTCGAACATTGAATTATATCTGTTGAACATCGAAAAAGAGAGCATGAAAAATGAAAATCCTCTGAAATTGAGAATTGACATCATCTGTCAAATCGGATGAAATAATATGATGTCTTATGGCATAAAAATATAAACCAATATGTTCAGTATTAAAATGAAAATTGAAATGTATATGAGAAGTATACTTGTATAAACTCTGATCTTGAATCATGCGTATCACGTCCTGTATGATGAATATCAATTTATCATACATAAAAAAAAAATATGTTTGGTTCCACTTTCTCCAAAAATGAGCGATTACAAAAATGAAATGAGTACGCCACTGTATTATTAAACGTAGAAAGTTATATGAGACTTCGTTCTAATCCTGCCGACAAGTTGAAAAGTAACGAAGATACGGAAGGTGCTCGAAAAGTGAGAATTTTCAACTTTATATCTCAAAAACATGAAGAACTGTGAAAATTCTGTTTGCGGCATTATTCGTTTAACAAAAAAGGAAGACAGTAATGTGAAAATAGAACTGCGAAGCTTTGGAATTTTTTGCCAATGGAAAAATTCCCAAGAACTTATTATAACCTCCAAAAGTAAAAAAAATCCAACACATACTTCCTCTCCCTACCCTTCCTAGGTAATGTACACACGGATATGTTCCACGAAACATTATAGGAATTTACTTCCGTGTGCTCCAAGCGATACAAATAAAAGAGGAACCCCATATACAGGGTAACTCACGGTCGATGGTACGTTAGCAGATACGTTTATGGAGAACGGGACATAGGATCATTCTGAAATTTTGGTTACTCACGTAGTTGCTCTTGGTCTATCGATCTAAAATATTTTCAGCTCTGCGGCGTTGCCGCTTCTATCGAAAAGTAGCAACAACTTTGTTATTTTAAATGGAACACCCTGTATTTTATTGCATTTTCAGATTCTCTCTGAAGAGCTGATTTCATCGATGCATCACACTTGGGGTCTAGCGGAAATGATTACAGAGATATAGGGTGTGAAAAATCGACATTTTTCAACTTTAGGAATTTTTTTTGTCGAAACTATTCATTTTTGGTCGAAACGGCTCACATGTCCCTATCTCAACTTTTGATCAACTATCTACTGACATTTAATTGAAACAAATACAGGGTGGTGCAGAACTCAGAATCTTGATCACTCGGTATATGTCCCAATTAAATATCAGTAGATAGTTAATCAAAAGTTGAGATAGGGACATGTAAGCCGTTTTGACCAATAATGAATAGTTTCGACAAAAAAAATTCCTAAAGTTGAAAAATGACGATTTTTCACACCCTATATATCTGTAATCATTTCCGCTAGACCCCAAGTGTGATACATCGATGAAATCAGCTCTTCAGAGAGAATCTGAAAATGCAATAAAATACAGGGTGTTCCTTTTGAAATAACAAAGTTGTGGCTACTTTTCGATAGAAGCGGCAACGCCGCAGAGCTGAAAATATTTTAGATCGATAGACCAAGAGCAACTACGTGAGTAACCAAAATTTCATAATGATCCTATGTCCCGTTCTCCATAAAAGTCTAACGTACCATGGACCGTGAGTTACCCTGTATATCGACGTCTTAGGCAAAAGATGGCAAAAGCATCTAAAACTGGACCCACTGTACTCGTTTCCAGGCCACTGCTAGGCAGAACGCGCGCAAACTCACCCTGGACAGCCTCCTCATAAAACCCATCCAAAGATTCCCCAGGTACGAACTTATCCTACAAAGACTGATAAAACACACCGACGAACACCATCCCGACCACAGCTTCCTCTTGACGGCTCAGCAGCAAGTGCACGAGCAACTGCTGAAGATCAACTGCACCGAGAGAGAAACCCTCGAGCTAGACCACCTGAGAGAGATAGAAGGCCTCATCGACGGTCTCATAGAACTGGCAACACCGGAGAGACAGTATATCAGGTGTGTCCTTCAAAAATACATTCAAATTAATTGAATTAACCCCACACCCATGTTTTGATCAGTTGATCCATCAAGGAAAATGTTTTATTTATTTACTAATTCATTCATCAGACGGGAAGTATGACCCATTTGCCATTACAGTTAAAAATAGATAAGAACATATTAATAAAGAACAACACTGCAACAAACTACGAAGTTAAAACTATGAAGTAAAAACTATAAACTAACACAAAAAAGAAGCTAATCAATGACTTCTTTCATTTGTCATAATGACACACTGATGCTTTGCCTGTGTCAAAATAATCTTATCATCCCTATATTTGCACCATAATTATAGTAGATATGTGTTAACAGGTTTGTATCCCGATCGGTTGGTATATTTGTAGTAAGATGGCGACTCATGGAATTTAGTTGTGGCTGGCATCATGTATGAGAAAAACAGAAGAATAATTTAAATGAAATGAAAAATATATAGATGTTAGGTACCTACTTCACCAAAACTCAAAAATACCTCAAATCAATTCACATGTGCAGTGTGCTGGGACATCTCATCATCAAAACCCTTTCAAACCAAATGGTTATTCAATAATATCTGCATTCAAATCAATCAATTCTATCGACAATAATAAGAAAGAGAAAGAATATGGTCGCATCGACGGTCTCATAGTAGTGGCAACGCCGGGAAGACAATCTATCAGGTGTGTTGATCCATCACTGTACAACATCTTCCTTGAAAGCACCCTTGAACTGATGAAATTATAACCCTACACTTGACACCAATCTGTTGATCCACCCTTTACAAGGGAGATTTAACAGGTTGTAGTTGAGCACACGATGAATTTTTGGTCAGGACCAACCCATGCTCCAGCGCTTGTTCAAGGGCTCGGTAGTGGATGATGTACTTCTCCTTATTATTCAGCGTTTTTGGATTTATGTGTTCTGAGCAGAAAGGTAGGTCTTTGTGGGAATCATGAAGGCGTCGTGGGTATTCTAGGTCAACTTCTAAAAAGTATCCTTCTAAAGCATCATCAGCAACGGTTGTAACATCAAGATTAGTGTCGGCCCATTCAAATCCTCCATATGGCAATGCCCGAGACATAGCCCAACCGTACTGGTTGTTAACGTCAAAGTACATTAAATATGAGTCAGGCTTTGATGAATCATATGGAGGCATGAACTTGTTATTGTTTGCCCTATCTCTTCGTTTCGAACAAATTTGGCTGAGACCTCCACGAATTCCTCTTTCAACAAACAGAAACATATCCACATCCGTAAGCAGCTCCAGTTCTTGGCCGGTTTTATACATCATAGCATCCCAAGTGAATCCTGGTAGGGTGTAATAGTGTGCAGGGTCAAGATTGTAAGTCCTGAGGCAGCTGGTTCGGAATTTTTCGAAAACATCGGTCAACAACATGATGTCAGTCTTCATGTAGATGTCAACATATTGTCCCAAGTCTTGACAATTGAACTCATTCCACACAAGATTGGCTTTCAGATAATGTCTGCGTGGACAGGGTTTCTCGTTCAGTTTGTTGAAGAAACCATCAATTGGTGGTAGCTGCGTCTCGTTGAATCGTTGAAACGAGTCGATATAGTCATACGGCATCACACCTTTCTTGAATTGAGACATCAAGTTCGGAAATTCGGTAAAATATGATGCCAACATATCCAGAGAAGAATTCATAAATCGAAAGCTATCGATGAAGCGGAAGCCTATTCGTGAATCCTCATTGTATTTGGTGAAGGAAATATATTTTTCTTTGGTGATTGGCAACAAATCATCTCGACCCTGCATTTTAGATGCTATATCCTCAATGATGAAATTGGCATCATATCCACTCAGATTGTGGAACACAACAGGCACCACATGGCTGTCCTGGTACCGAATATTACAGCTTTCATGCGCTGGACCTCTATAATTTTTTTCCGGAATGAGCTGCGTATGGTCGTGAACTTTCTTATCATCAGGTCCAAAAGGTTGTTCACAAATGTGGCAACGTTTAGCTCTTTGAAACTCAACTTCCTGCTCAGCGGTCATGTCGATGTTGTATGGACATAAAAACACCGTAGACATATCCTCAGCCAACTAGTTGAGCTCATCAGCGAACCACGCCATACAGTCCTGCCCTCGGTATGAGCGATAAAAGGAAAGAGAATCGTCATATGAGCATTTCATGAAGTATCCTACGTCAGCTGGAACGTGGAGCTGAGGCTTAGAATCATCAGTTTTCATCAAAGCAGACTCTTGAATTTCAGAATATTCTTGCTCTCCTCCGGCATTCTGATTGCAGTATCATTCATTCTTACGCAAGTCTCAACATGTTTATAGAGTTTTTCGGCGGTGCGGAACTAATGGAGACAGCGGTCGTAGAAGAATTTACGTCCATTATGATCGCTGCATTCAAATCAATCAATTCTATCAACATTAATTAATTATCTTCAATTTTTTAAAATCCCAAATACATAAAAGCAGTTATGGAACTCAATAACTCATAACTCCAATATCTTAATTCCTATCATCCAATCAAACAATGAAATGAACACCATTTATACCCAATAGTCAATCTCAAACCTCTAATTATTCACACTAATAAGATTGTCCACTCCTATGTGAAATGTTGTAGCCAAATTTGGCCTTAGTTCTTGGCTAGTTCGTAGGCGGCTCTAGCGAAACAGCAAATTATATGGCCGATTTTACTGTACTCTGCGGAATCTGCTCTCGCGTCCATCTATCTGCAAGTTGCTGAACTATCTAAGAATATATCCTTCGTACTGAACCAGGAAAATCACTAATCTTGATATTCTGAAGGCTTTTGAATAAAAATATTTTAATCCAGCCCTGATGCGACATTCCTTCTTGCATAAAAACATGAAAACATCTGAAAATTACCTGCGAAACCCATCGCAAATCAACAAAAAGTAGTTCACCTTGTCGCTCATAGATACCGTCACTTACTGAATAGATTTTTTAAGGATTTTTTGGCTTAGACTACTATTCATTCAACACTTTGGAAATATTAAGACAATCGCTTATTTTTCGTTCAAAACTATCTGATACTGACTACTCTTATGGAAAAATCCAAATCAATTCATCTATATGGTTTGTTTGGAATGGTTTACTTAGCTCCGACGTAAATTGTTTAATTGTATGTATCCTTCGATTTTATGTATAGTCTGCAGGAAGCAACACTGAAGATTGAAACAGCTTCAATCTGCTCCTGAAGATCCTAACATGGTTAGCGAAAAACGTGTCGAGGTGTAATTAATCGGATTGGTTAGTGGTAAAACAGTGTGTCTCGCAGTGTGTAGTGTATTATCGTGTCAAAGGTTTCAGTTTTCGATATATGTTTTTAATTGAAGCTAGAGTTGGTGTCCGGTAAAAAAATTGCACAATGAAATATTATTAAAAATTTGGTGAGATAAGATTACGCCAAATAAAATACAAAATACTGGCTTTAGTTACGCAAAATATTAATCGAGCAGCTGATGGTGAAAATAGATTTTGTTACAAAGAACTCGAAGCAGTATATTATTATGTATAGTACCTATCAATTTCATTGTCAAGTTGAATAAAACACAATTTCAATTTCTCAGTTTTTCACAAATTAATTTTACTCAAGTTGGTAGAAATACAGGGTGTCCGCTAAAAGGAGGTCAATCCATTAACCATATATTCCTTGAACAAAAACAATATGAGTTTCTAAATACCAAGTCAAAGTTGAAAATTAAAAACTGTTTTTTTCTAATTACTCGCGTATTTGATAGGATATAAATCTCAAAATTGGTACATTATTTCAGCACAAAGAGTTACATCGTGTGAGGAGAACAAAACAGAAAAAAACTGTCGAATATTCAAAATACTGGGGGTCACGTACACACTTACCCCCATATTTTTTTTGTACGTGCGCTAATGACTTATTATATATTTTTCATCAAGTGTTCAATCATTTGTGAGTATTTTTTGTGTCTTGTAAAATTTCGATAAAATTATTTGTTTTTAAGATAATTCGAAAAGTACTGGTTATTGTTTGATGCCTATGCGGCTTATGGTAATCTCATAATGTTCACATACTCCTATTTATTTCGTCGAAATTGGAAGAGGGCGTATTTTTTTACGTACGAAATGGTAAATATGGAAATACCGGGTGCTCAGAGCAATTGTACTAAAATAATTTTTGCAAAAAAAAATTTAAAAAGTGTAAAAATTATTTTAATACATTCGCTCTGAGCACCCGGTATTTCCATATTTACCTTTCGGTACGTAATAAGATACGCCCTCTTCCAATTTCGACGAAATAAATAGGAGTATGTGAACATTATGAGATTGCCATAAGCCGCATAGGCACCAAACATTAACCAGTACTTTTCGAATTATCTTAAAAACAAATGATTTGATCAAAATTTTACAAGAAACAAAAAATATTCAAAAATGATTGAACACTTGAAGGAAAATAGATAGGAAGTCATTAGCGCACGTACAAAAAAAATATGGGGGTAAGTGTGTACTTGACCCCCAGTATTTTGAATATTTGACAATTATTTTCTGTTTTGTTCTCCTCACACGATGTAACTCTTTGTGCTGAAGTAATGTCCCAATTTTGGGATTAATATCTTATCAAATACGTGAGTAATTAGAAAAAAACTGTTCTTAGTTTCCAACTTTGACACCCTGTATATCGAATATAAAGGGCTAAAATGAAAAATGGTATTTAGAAACTCATATTGTTTTTGTTCAAGGAATATGTGGTTAATGGATTGACCTCCTTTTAGCGGACACCCTGTATAATCTTTCACAAGAGTTCTATTTAGTATCAATGAAGTTCAGAGGATGGCCTGCCTGGCGCGATTACAGGAGCAATGAGGACGACGCCAACTGCAACGCTGGAGGTACTGCTGTGGGGCTGCCGCCGCTTCCAATCTGGATTAAGAGGGAAGCAACCTATCTGAGGATGCGGGACTCTGGGAGTTGGGCTAACGGAGGAGCAGTGACAGGTCACGCGGAAATTGCGACATGGGTGGAGCAGGAGATCCCTATCTCCACCCTGAGAGTAAAGAACGCTCAAAATAGGCTGAGATGGAATAGAAGGTTCACCTTTAAGCAGGGAACAATGGAAAGAGAACAGAGTGGAATTCCGCCCAGGGAGTCTAGTATGTTATACGGACGGATCGCGCCTAACTGACAAACAGGACTCAGGTGCAGGAATTTACCTAGAAGGAATAGGCATAAGGGAGAGCTATGCTCTTGAAAAGTATACCACAGTTTTCCAGGCTGAGGTCTTTGCCATTCTGGCAGTAGCGGAGAGGCAAGAGGTGAAAGAGGGACCAGAGCAGAAGATTTACATCTGCTCGGATAGTCAGGCGGCTCTCAGGGCTATCTGCCATCCTAAACCAAGCTCAGCTTCGGTGCAGGAATGTGGCAATGCTCTTGAGAAACTAGCTGAACAGAAGGAAGTCGAACTAGTATGGGTTCCGGGTCACAGGGGGGGTGCCCGGGAACGAGGTGGCCGACGAGCTGGCTAGAATCGGATCCGCGACACCGTTCTGGGGACCGGAGCCTGCACTGGGCATAACAAGAAGCCAAACTTCGTCTGCCCTTAACAAATGGGCGGACGAGGCACTAGAAGGATATTGGAGACGTATAGGCGGCTGCAGGCAATCGAGAGACCTGGTGGCCGGTCCAAGCAAGCCAAAGACGGCTTGGTTACTGGGCAGGGATCGCCAAGTCCTGCGCCTTCTTATAGGGGTACTGACAGGGCACAACAGGTTACGCAGACACACCCATAGGTGTGGAAGATAGTCCCACTTGCCGTGAATGCAGAGAAGATGAGGAGACATCACTTCACTTCCTCGGAGAGTGTGAGGCGTATGGAAGGATGAGATTCGAAATCTTTGGAGTAGATAAACTACAACAGGAAGATTTGGCCGAATTAGAGTGGACGGACATCCTGACCTTCATCAGAAGGTTGATGAAATTCGAAGGAATCGTGGCCATAAACAAACTACACTCTATAGACCTCCGACTTCAATGGACCGACCTCATTCCATTTTCTAGTTTAGTCACCAAACAATAGGTGGCCATTTGACATAATGATCTGTGATAGTGCGCAGGCGCAGGCATTGATTTCAAAATGGTGTTCATATATTGTTTGACGAATGACGATTGGCATTCCTTTGTTGTGAATGTTGTGATTTTTTCCCGTCTACAAGTGTGGTTTTTCCGTTTCAAAGTGCTATATATTCTCCATTTATGGCCATTACTTCGTTTTTCAATCATGATTGAAGAAATCAATCAGCAATAATCCACTTTTGATTCGAACAATAGTGAAGTTTATGATGAGACTGGACTAGTTTGCAGTGTCAGGATGTGAGATTTGATATTTCTCTCCTGGCATCGTTTTCCAAATTTCGGGAAAGAAAATCCCAGGTTTATATAGAGGATAAAGTGTTTGAAGATCCTGTGATAATTTTTGAGTTATATTTCATTGTGATAATTATAGGTGTTCATGTATGACCTAATTAAGAAAGTTTGCATTTTGATAACTTGCTCTCATTTACCGACCATTTTCATTCTACAGTGTCTGTGAATTGTGGAAAAAGATGAATTTCATCTCTTCCACTATTCACGAAAGTTTCTCTTCATGTCAAATATTTGAGAATATCATGAATTATTCAAAATTCCCGCTTTTCGAAATAGTTGCGCCACCAAACACCAGAGGCGCTGATGGCGAAAATCGAACAAGAGGTTAACATGTGCGTTGGCCATCTAGAAGAGTGTAGTTAGTTTATCTATGATCGTGGCATTACTTTTGCAACATTTCAAATACGATTCGAATTATCGCCACTAATCATTCTGGGGCTTCACACAGGCACGATCTGGTCTCGATGTCCCACGGCAGCGGGCCTCGCAAGGAGAGAGCTCTGTTCCTCTTCTCGGATATCTTGCTAATAACCGGCATTAAAAGAAGAAGTGGAACGGTAAAGAGACCGGTACAAGGTCAAGGCGTCACCGGCACCTTAGAGGCCAACAAGTACAAGCTGTTGATGAAGATACCCTTGGAGGACATCGACATCATCAGGTCCAAAGATGACAACTCGAAGCAGATATTGCGGGAAGTGGATAATTTGACTGAAGATATATCGGTGTTGAATCAGATGAACGAGCTGGCTTGGTCTTTGCACTGCAATCATGCCCAGCTGGATGAGGTTATCAGGGAGATGTTGAGCTCGTCCAATAAACAGCTGGCTGACCAGCAGAACAGCGATTCACAGCTAGCCTGCTTAGATCTAACGATTGCGATTCCGTGAGTATTTAACCCTTCACTGTATAGTATTGTAAATATAAAAACTAGAATAGAATAGTATTTATTCATATCGCCGCAGCTACCGTCATAGGCGGATATACAGTGTGATATTCTAGCAAATAAAGTTCATATGAACATGTGTCCTAACTTGCTCCGTTTTTGAGATACAGGATGTTGAAGCTGGAAGTATTAACTGTTTTTATTTATAACCCCCATGTTTTAAGTTTCCATTGTGCCAAAATTCAGTATGGATGGAGACTGAGAAAACCCCAAAATTTCAAAATGATCCTAATTGGGGTTATTGAGTAATCCCAATGGAAGTCTTGAAAACACCTACATTAAAATTTTGAATCATATCGAATTTTCCTTACAAACTAAGCTAGATACAAAAATCACACAAGAAATAAAGAAATTCTTTTCTTCCGGAACAATACAGATAAATTTGACTTCCCAAATTTTAGGTAATATTTTCCTTCTGTGTTTCAGAAATGGATCAGAAAGCGTTGCCATTATATTTTCCAAAACTGAGAAGAGGACTTCATGGGAAGAATCTTTGAGTGAGGCCAAACAGAAATTGGGTGAGATTTTTTTTAAAGAAAGAATAATTTATTATATATTCCACCATATACAGAGTGTTTCGAAATATCAGTATAAAAATTTCAAGGACTTATTGTTCAGGTCAAAATAAGACCTATTCTCCTATAGATTAGATTAGATTTAGAATGGGGCCTTCGGGCTATCTGCCTCCACACCGCGACCTTTTCAGATCTATTGTGTCTGCCCTCAAAATCGATTAGAGTTCTTCGGCTAGCCCCGTCTTCTCTATGAGACTCCATAGGCTAGCTTTCAGATCCCCTGTGTATCTCTGGGCTTCTGGTTTTTCCTCACCCAGCGTAAGGAACCTTAGTCTTGACAAGCCCTCACAGTGGCAAAGTATGTGTACTGCTGTTTCCTCCTCTTCCTGACAGAACCTGCACAGCAGTTCTTCAGTCAGACCTATCGTACTCATGTGTTTGTTGAGCCTACAATGCCCTGTGAGAAGTCCCACTAGTATTCTAGTTGAACTTCGTTTCTGGCTTAGTAGATATTCTGTGAATGTTGGCGATGGTTTTTTAATAAACTCTTTTGCCTGTCTCATTCCTGGCGATTTGTTCCACCATTCTTGAGATTTGGTTTGCATCCATGATTTGATACTAGTCTTTTGTATAGCTTTCGCAATACCACAGTAGGGTTCTGGGCCATTCAGAGCTTTGTTTGCTCCTGCTCGGGCAAGTGAGTCTGCCTCTTCATTGCCCTCGTACCCTGTATGTGCTGGTACCCATGCTAGAGTCAGTCTGTTCTGACTGCCCAGTGCATTTAGGGTTTCTAAGCAGTCCCATACTAGTTTTGAGTTAACTTGCATAGAGCTGACTGCTTTGATTGCCGCCTGGCTATCTGAATAGATTGCAATGGTTTTGCCTTTAAACTCTTGCCTTATCAATTCTTTCACGCAATGATGTATTGCAATAATTTCTGCCTGAAACACCGTCGCGTATTTACCTAAGCTCAGTGAGATTCTTGTCTTTGGCTTGGCCCCATAAATACCAGCTCCTGATCCAAACTCAGTTTTGGAGCCGTCCGTATAGACAGCAATGTCTGCATTGATAGGAGGTCCTTCCTTCCATGCCTCTCTGTCCGTTATACTTATTTTAAAAGTTTTTTCAAAGCTATATTTTGGAATTATGCCATCCGTTGGCATTCCCATGATGGGGTCGCTTTCCAACTCTTCATATAGCTTTCTATAGTCTTTACCGTGCGCGTTGCTTATGGGTGCTTGACCCCTTGACAATCTACTCACGACTGCTCTGGCTTCGCCTTGAATATATATTTGTAGTGGTGGTAGGTTCAAGAGGACCTCTAAAGCGGCTGTTGGAGTGGTTTTCATTGCACCAGTGGCACTCAGGCAAGCTTGCCTTTGAATAGCACTGAGCCTTCGAATCACTCCAGCCTGTTGTGTCTTTGGCCACCAAACTACTGACCCATATGCTATCATAGGCCTGATGACGCTGGCATAGAGCCATGTGGTCATTTTTGGTTGCAGTCCCCAATTTTTCCCGCACATTCGTCTGCACAGATTGAAGGCTACTGTACTTTTTTGAACAATTTTTTGTAGGTGTTGATTCCATGTTAACTTATGGTCAAAGATGACTCCTAAGTATTTTGCCTCTAGGGCGAACGGAATTTCTACCCCGTTGAGTACTGGTGACTTTAATCCTTCCAGTACTCTCTTTTTCGTGAAATTCACTATAGTGGTTTTATGAGGGTTCACGGTGAGTTCCTCCTCTTTACACCAATTGTCAATTATGTTTAGAGCGATTTGTGTGAGCTCCGAGACCGTACTTGCGAATCTACCTCTAGCGATAACCGCCAGGTCGTCGGCATATCCTAAGCAATAATACCCTTTGGATGTTAGCCTTTTGATCAGTTCGTCCATTAGAATGGCCCATAGTAGGGGCGATAATACTCCTCCCTGTGGGCATCCCCTATCTGCTCTAGCTGTCAGAGTTGTCTCGCCAATTGTGGATATGATAACCCTATTTTTCAAATTGACATTTATCCACTGGCACAGGAGTAGCGGTACTCCTTTCCTTGCTAGGGCATTAATTATAGAATTTGTTGATGCGTTATTGAAAGCACCTTCTATGTCTACGAATGTTGTTATAGCTATTTCTTTGTCCTCTATCGACTTTGCGAGTAGCCTGTTCAGATCATCCAGTGCTAAGTCAGTTGACTTGCCTGGCTGATACGCATATTGGCGCTCGTTGAGCGGGTTTCTTTGTAATACCTCGTCTCTTATGTATCTGTCTATCAGTCTTTCCAGCGTTTTGAGCAGGAACGACATTAGACTTATTGGGCGGTATGATTTTGGCGTTTTGTCACCCACCTTTCCCACTTTGGGAAGGTAGATGACTGTCACCTTCTGCCATTCTATGGGTATATATCGTATTGCTATACAAGCCTTGAATATACGACACAAATGTGGAATTAGTATTTCCTGCCCCTTTTGAAGCAGGATGGGGTATATTCCATCTACTCCAGGGGATTTATACGGTTTAAATTTATTAATAGTCCACCTAATTCTGTTTGGCCTCGATATCTCTGTAGCTAGCCTCCATTCTATGGCAGTTGGCCTATTCGGCCTGCCAATGGTGCTGTCTGCCACTATCGGCTCATTTAGAATTACTGAGGCCGGAAAGTGTGCTTCAGTGAGCATTTTCAGACTCTCCTCAAAAGTTGCTGTGTAGGTATTGTCATTCTTCTTCAGAAAACCTACTTGGTTTACAGTACCTTCTTTGGCTAGCACTTTGTGGATCCTTGAACATGTGGGGGTTTCTGTGACCTCCTCACAGAACTTTTTCCACGATTGCCTTTTCGATTTCCTAATCTCTTTGTTGTACTGCGTGAGTTTAACCTTATATGTGGTCCAATTCTGGTCGAGTTTTGCTTTGTTGAATAGCCTCCGCACCTCCTCTCGTAGGGTTTCGAGATGCTTGTTCCACCAGATTGTTTTATTGCTTTGTTGTCTTGTTTTTTCCGGGCAGTTACCTTCGTAGGCGGCAACTATTGCCTTGCTTACTTGGTCTACTGACCTCTCAAGACTGTGGCTGTCCCTTATGTCAGCCGTGGTCCTTTGTAGAGATTCTCTGAGTGATGTTGCGTATCCTTCCCAGTTGGTCTCTCTGGGGTTTCTGTACTTTGTTAAGGTACGAGGTGGGGTAATTATATCAAATCTTATTTGTCTATGGTCAGAACACGAAGGTTCATCTGACACATGCCAGTTGACGATATTATCACATGCTTTTTCTGACGAGAGAGTTATATCTAGAACTTCTTTCCTCGCTGCCGTGACAAATGTTGGTTCGCATCCTACATTAGCTATTAATAACCTTTCTGTTAGTATGAATTGCAAAAGTGACTCACCTCTTATGTTGACGTCTGTGCTTCCCCATACAGTATGGTGTGCATTTGCGTCGCATCCTATGATGAGTTGGAGGTTTGCCCTTGCCGCATATGCGATTACTTCGCCTAGTATCGGTGGTGGGCAAACCTCCTCGCCTGGGAAATACGCGGAGCTCACTATCCAGCTTCTGGTACCTTCCTCTGTCGGCGTGGTTAGGAGTCCTGTAACAACATCACCGGTGCAGAGCACCGGTATTAGTGTGCATTTTACTCTATCGATTCTCCTATAAGTATGTGTCCAAAAGCTTCGTTACTGATATACAGGGCGTTTTTTATTTTCCAACACCTCCTATATAAAAATTTAAGGTTCGATTGGTTTCTTATTATTCTTTAGGTTGTGTTTGGAAACTTGTAATTGAGATCACGAACTGAATATGTCGCGTTCATTATTTCAATTATGATGATAGGTTCCTCCCTTTTGTTAAAAATATTAATTCAATCTAGCAAATTACAAAAAATACTTTTATTTCTCGATAACGGTCGCAGATACGTAAAAATTACGAGAGTCAAAGAAGTTCACAAACAAAACAAATAAATCATTTCATGTTTTGATATTTACCAGTGGCACATCACAAAAAAGTTCATGAAGCGAAAATAATGGCTTGGGGACCCCTGAAAAAATATCTCCCTGTAGATTCTTACAATCATTCGACATCATACTGTATACCTTACGTAGCCTAGGCATGTAATTTAATTGAATATCTCGAAAACTAAAAGGTTTTCAAGAAAAAAAGAAAAACCTTGAAATTCCAACGCTCTGCTTGTAGATTTGTAGATCGGTTACGAAGCGTTTGTGGACATATGTTTATAAGAAAAAAAGTTTTATTTCGATCTGAAAATTAACCACTGAAATCTTATTAATAATGAGTTTTGAAACACCCTGTATATTACTTAGCAAGTGTCTATGTAGTAGAGGAGTTACAAATCAAAATGCACATTATAACTCATATATTCTGTATATTTCTTTACGTGTGAATGGAATCAGGAAAGACCTACGCACAACTTATTGCTATCCACTTTCTATCATGACGTTTGTCGGAATAAGTCACGACATGAATTATCGAACGCAACGATTGCATTAGCAAGTTTTCGTATGTCGGGACGCATTCGAATCTGCTATTACAGAGGCGTGCAGTACATCACGCATTGGTAAAATTAGAGTGACTTTATAAATAGAGTGACGGCAATAGTGCATGGTACACTTTTCGATTGGTCAGACCTCTAATGTGAGTGCATCCACCTGTCTTGTTTTCTCCGTTCAGTTCTACCCATTCAATTTCACTTTGTCAATGCTTCTTGCTTTTTGGACACAAACATCCAATAATCAGACATGAAACTCTATACGTCAGTAGGGGAGATGTGGGTAAAACGGCCACCCTAAGGAATTATAGCAAAATTTGGGAAAACGGTCGACCACACTTTGATAGTATTGGACCCATGCATTGTCCAGTCGATCTACTATCAGCTCCTTGTCGAATACTTTCACTCCGAATGTAGTGCAATCGGTAAATGCTCAATATATGGAAAAGTGCAAAATGGCCGTTTTACCCCATAGGTAAGGGTAAAGTGGCCAATTGAT